GGAGAGAGAAATCCCTCCCCGGAGAACAAAATTTGGTTATAAGGCCATGTGCACGCGTATCCGATCACTCCTATCATTTTTTCTAGCACGTATTCTCTTTCTCTTCTTCTTCTTCTTCTTTTTCCTCCTCTTCTTCTTCTTCTTCTTCTTCTCCTTCTTCTTAGCGATTAATAATTTTTTTTTTTTTTTGTTGCAAGTGATAACAGATTGTGATTCTTTCCCTGTCTCTGGCATTGATTCGCTCTCTTTTCTATTTTAGTTGCTAATATGAGTTTATCTTAAATTTTATCCTTATATATATTGAAATAACTGAAATATCTATCACAATAATTTTATATTAAATTATTATTTACTAAATATTAAATAGTATAAAGATTTATATAGTAAATTTATAATAAATTATTAAGGGTGATGAATAGTTCTTTTATATAGTAATTATAAAAAAATTATTGAGGGTGATGAATAGTTTCATCAAACAACAATTTAAAGTTGGCTAAATATATTAAGAAATCCAAAAAGTTCTATTTAAATATTTATGTAGTTTCCAAAATATTTTAATTAAAAATTTAGGAAATCTAAAGGCCCAAAATGTGTACTAGTAAAAAAGTATTTTAGCCCATGTCATATTAGACTCGCTATGATTTTATCTTTTTTTTTTTCGAAAAGATAAAGATATTATATTACTAGCACAAATGTGCAAAAGGGCAGCCACCGGCTGAATCAAAACAGCTAACAGGTGAATAGAAACAACCAACGGCTGAAAAAGTAGGAGGACATGTCAGAAGACCGTCTAGAACCGATCCTAACAGGGTAACCAGAAAACACAAAAACACTACTAACAAATAACACACAAAGACCCCAACATCCCCAACATGATAATGCCCGAGTGTAGATCCCAACATGATAATAAAGGCACACTCGGGCTCACTGAGGCCAACGGCCCAGACCAAAAACACAATAAAACAACACATGAAACTACTGAACTACGAACAAAACAAAAAAAAAGACACAAACTAAATCAGTCCTTCCTAAGCTGCAACACCTAACTGAATCAACGGACATAAGTTGACCACGGATCCCGTAGCTGAATCAACGGACATAAGTTGACCACGGATCCCGTAGCAAGAAGACCGACCTCAAAATTTCCAAAACCACTCGGTTGCCTAACGAATTCGAAGCCCCAACCCCAGAATTGCAGCAGGCTGACCCGCACCACGACCACAACACCCAATTGCTTCCGAACAGACAAAGGAGTGCCACGACCCCAGCCCCGACCCCAAATCGCCTGGAAGCTGCACAAAAGATCACCACACCACCGCTGCAACACCACGACCAACACCACTGGAAGAAGAATTGAGCGCCGGCCCCCATCGACCCAAAAATCGAGACCAGGGGGGATGACCTTGAGCACCGACATCGCCCCGTTCGCACAACAAAAGTACAAAACAAGTCGCCGAGCAATCGAGCCGTGTCCCGCCTCGGAACCGCACCACGGCTTCACCACCTCACGACCAAGAAGCCCCCAATCTAAATTTACTAAAAGGCGTCGGGACGGCGAGAATCGTCTGTAACAGACGGGGACACGATCCAAAGAAAACGAGAAGTGGAGCAGAAGAAAAGGAGCGGAATCCATGCAGTTAGGGGCTGGTAACCGCCGGCTAAGCGCGGTGGCCGCCGAGGAAGGCGGACAACTTCAATTTGGAGGAGAGACGGCGAGGATCGACGAGGGTTTCTTGTTCGCTTTTTCGCAGAGGATTCGGCGAGGGTTTTATCTTATTTTGGCTCAAATAAATTATATTTTAAATTAAAATAAATTATATATTTGAAATGGTTTAAGTCTCTTTTTGCTTTTCCTATTAGCACATTATGTTGTTTTTCGACTTTTTTTCGAGTTTATATTATATTATTGAGTTAAAAAAAATTATTTGAATAATTTTATTTGAGGCAATTATTGCTTGTGTTAAACTCAATTAGAATATTTAGTATGCGGTTGAATTGATTGATTTTACAATTTAGTTATATATTTCTTTTTCTCTTTTCTCAAATATTTGGTATTTCAACATAAAAAAATTTCAACATACAACAAGAATAAAGCGGTTAAAAAAAATATCTCTGCATTTAAAAAATAAAAATTAATTAATTAAAATTTATGATTTGTCATATGTATAAAAGAGTATTTAATAATTCACAAGTTTTTTTAGGAAGTCTATATAATTGATTTTTTATTCTACAAATACAATATTTATTTTAATAGTATTTTAATGCATGATTTACGTAATTTATATTAATACTTGAAAATAGTTTTCATACTTTTATTTTTGTTATATATGTGACTAGCGAGATTATTCGAGTCAAGTACTTAATGTTTAAACTTGTGTACATTTAATAAACGAGTTGGCATGACACGACTCGTTTAATAAACAAATAGAAATGTGAGCCTGAGTTGTGATAGTTTAAACTCGATTCAGCTCGTTTAATAAATATGAAATTACTAAATGTGAGTGAACGAGAGAGACTAATTCGACTTTCAAGTTAAAAAATATGAAAGTAATTACCAAATTTGTCTCATATGATTGATCCCAAAAGTTGCTAACGTGTTGCACATGAATCATGTTAGTTTTAAATTTGATTCAAATAATTTATTCTAAAAGTAAGTCAAAACTATTTAATTAAAAAAGTCAAATTTTCCACATTTGAATTAAATATCAAAATATTCTGACTTCTCTTATTGACGAACTTGAAGAACTCATTTTTTATTTGTATTTTTTGAAAAATTACAAAATTGGTATAATCTAACGTCTTCACGTGAGCCCAGTCAGTTTTGACGGATGTGTGACCATTTTTGCAATGAAAAATTAAAAAGAATCATAAATGGCGTACCAGAGACCAAATGTGGGAAACAGTCAAAGTTTATGATCAAATTTATAATTTTCTCTATTTATGACATTAACGACGCGACACACGCACAACACAGTTGGATTCAAGGCATCTGGATCGCTCATGATTTAGTCTATTGAAGATAAAATTAAATGACACGTTATATTTTAGATTTTTTCGTATAAAAAAATATATTCAACATAAAATAAAATAAGATTAGCTTTAGTTAATACTTATTAAAATCGTTATGTATATATATTTGAAAATATAGGGTTTTCGGTAAATTCAAAAACAGTAAGCTGGCATTTTATGTAAAATAATTGACTTACCAATTAATAAAAAAATATTATAAAAATTACTCTGATTTATTGAAAAATTATTAAAATTAAATCGTACAGTGTTTAATATATTATTTGAATACGTAGCGTGATTTTAGGCTTTTTCACCAATTTTCTTTTTTCTTCTTTTTTATTTCGAAAAAATTAAAAGACTAATTATTTCTTTTTATAACGTTTATTTTTATTTGGAAAAGAAAAGGACTAACAATTCCTTCTTTTATATGCCAATCAACAAAAGAAATAATAAGACTAATTATTTATTTCTTATATTTTAATATAACTAATAAAGACATCATTTTAATTAGAGATTTTTGTAATTTTATACTCCTCAATATACGATTTTTCTTCATTATTCAAAGTTTTTAATTGGTAAGTATTTAATATATATCTGGACAAAGGTTAAGTATTTATTTTAAATATTATTTTAAAGAGAAATTTAAAAAAAAAATTAATGTATAAAATTCATGCTCATCAATTTTCAAGGCAAATGGCATCACATTGAATTTGGAAAAACCTAAAAGTACAAATGAGAGTAAGCCTAAAAGAGTACCTTTAATTTGAAATGGGTTCAGTTTGGTAACCCAACTGAATTAATAGTTATCGAACCAAATCAATTTCGGTTTTGCAAACCGAGCCTATCAATGCCGAACCAATTTGTACTAATTTACCAAACATAACTGAAAAATCAGTTTTCGAATGTCATTTTCCATTCATAAACTAGTTGGTCAAACAAAGCCCACAACCTGTTTTTCATGTGTTAGCTGCATTAGTTACCTTCTAATGCTGAGAAGGAAAGTTACTTTCAAAGAAGAGATTCAGGTCACCGTTTAAAGTATCAAAAGCCAATATCTTCTCCGCAGCCTCCTGCATTTTATTTGCACCCTTCATTGGGGGGATTTCGAAGAAAATAAACGATCTCGCTGAATTACAAAACGATGCAATTATTGCACAACCTTATACTGCTGATCCTGTGTCGATATATTCTCATGCAGAAGTCTCTCGACATTCTTGTCATCTCCATTGGCAAGAAGTACATATGCTGCTCTCTTAATAACTTCCTCGGGAACTCCTGGGTAAAATTTTAACATCCGAAAACTTAATTGGAAGAAAACTAAAATGTATGAGATGCCTGGTGGGTAATATTTTATTTTTTTGGGAATGCATGTATAATTTTCACGACAAAAGGTATAAAATTTGATTCGATTTGTCACATTCGCCTCAAGGAATGTACCGGCAAGTAGGGCACAGCGTAATCCTGCAAGGGAAAATCAGAGTATATGACTTATGGGAACTAGAAATTATGTATAAATCTTCACTTCAAGAATTATGTCGATCACTCACCATAGCTAAGACGAGCACGTCCTGGAACCAGTCTGTCAAGCGCAGAATAAACAATCAAGAAACATTAAGGATAGAAGACTAATTTCAAGAAGAGAAACTCCAGTGCAACCTTGGACCCGATATGCTAAATATTATTCCTTGGTTTCTTACAGGTTGACCTTAGAATAATCATGTAAAATATTGCACAATGTTACCTGTATAAAAATACAATATATTCAACATCTGTGCCATTGTCGTCTGGGCTTAACACGCTCATGGTGTAATAGTTGATCTTGCTTGACTGCAGATATTAAATAGTTTTTTTTTTTTTTTTAATCAAAATTGAGCTAGAAATTGTAGGAGATAATAAAAGTTTGTGTAAAAGATGAAATTCAAGAATGACTACAACATGTGCTACCTCCAGCAAATACCCATTTTCGAATATTTCACTCAAGTGTGTTGACAGCAAAACCTGCCAGAAAAATGAAAATTCATATGGCAGACATAATAAATGTCTAAACTTTAATAGACTCATGTAAAATACACACACATACATATGTACACTTCTACCTATGTAAGATATTGATTAATCATGTGATGCTATTTTAACAGTGCTAAAGCATCACTGCTAAAAACATCATCATATACTAAGAAAAAAAGAATACCATATAATTTATTCTAGTAGTTCTCATGTTCTCATGTGAAGAATGATTTGCACTTGGATCTAGACCTTATATACTTACAACACTACCATACCCAACCTGCAGAACATTGCAGGACGTTTATTTGTGACTTGACAACCAACGAAGGTAAAAATGATTGTTTTGTTGCAATGTTCTATCCAAATATCACTACAGATTACGTTATCCAGGTATAAGTCCTTAAATCTTTAAACTTTGATACACTCGGAGAAAATGAAACTAGATAAGACAACCACATTAGTGAACATTCTTTGACATTTGGCCTTCCTATATATGTCATATATCGTGGCAGTGGCACAGGAAACTACTTCCCACCCATTTACCGCACATGCTTTGTCCAATTACTCTATATTCTTCCACCAAATACATCAAGCATTGAAAATGCCAGTAGCACTAACCACATGATTCACCCAGGACCAATAGGGGCACAATTCTCGGTACCTTCTTTGCTAAATAATCAATTTGTCCGAAGAGAAATGAATAACTCTGGCTCGTCTTTTTTTTTTTTTTTTTGGCATGTTATTGCCTCGAAATAATAGTTGAAACTTAAATGATTCTGATTCTCGCAACATCACGCAGACATCAGAAAGATTAGGTCTTTTCTCCCCCTCATTTTTTGAGACAACGGATTAAAAAATAAGAAAATGAATCAACATGAAAGGGTCATAAATCACATTGAATGTATAAAAGATTCAATCCAAACCTTCGGGGGATTATCGCACGAAGCAAAATGATTAATGGTTCCACCAAGAAGACCAATACCATCTGAAATTAACAAATAGGAAATATGATTACAGCAGTTCTTAAAAGAACTGATGATTTATCCATTGTCTAGCTAATAACCTTCAGAGAGAGTTCCTTTCCCAAATTCATCCATCAGACATAAAGACTGAAAACCTGCATGTCTGAAGAAGGGTAAATGAATAGATCAATATATATATATATACATATACAAATTATCATCAATGCTAATACATTCATAGGATGATATTGAGACTGTCCAAACATACAACAGAGGCAAAAGTTTCTGCACAAACACAACTGTTATTAAAAGTCCAGTGCGAGTATATGCTATTTACATCTTTTTAGTATACCTCAACATCAAGCCCACTTGTTGGAGGTCAATCATAAATGTTGATTGCTCAGCCGTCATAAACTTGCTTCCAGTAGCACAAAATATCCTATTTATATATGGATGGCAGCATCATTACCGACCACATTGATACTGTAAACGCCCTCTTGAAAGGGATGATCAGAAGAGGAGATTTAGTAAGTAAAATGATGAAACCTATCAGTCAAACCCACGGTGGCTGAATCAGCTGGTACAAAACTTCCAATGTGGGAGAGGAAAACAATCAAGGCAACCTGAAATGGAAATCAACTTTAAGCAAATAAGTAAAGGAATCACAGTAAAAAATGATTTTCAGCCATCTAAAATACGTACACTAGTATGACAACACAAACATTACAGTTCTTGATTTTTCCAGCCACACAATGCATCTCAAAATTCACTAATACACGTCTTCAACCAGCTAATAATTTCACCTAAGACTCTGAAACTGAGTGAATCTATTCCTTGGGATATAGTAACTGTCTTTATGTGTATACCTGATTAAAGGTTAGAAAATTACATGAAAAGTGGAAAAAATTGTGAATTACTTAATTAAGAGTAAGTTTATGTGCTCAATTTTGTCGCACTTTTATTTTTAAGACTTATTTTGTTATTTAGATGAATCAGAAGAATTTAGTGTTTGACGACTTATTTCCAGTGTCTGAGTATTTTTATGGGCGACACTGGACTGAAGTTCCAGAGGACTGGTAATGGGTGACCCATACTATAAAAATCCCCAGTCTTATGGACCGAGGTTGCATCACTTATTGATGAGGAGAATGAAACCCAATGTTGAAGCAAGGTCAAAAGATTTCTTGAGATTTCACTGGCCACCTGAGTACTACTGGGCGAAAAATGTGGGAAAAAAAAAAAAAAGATGGAACGAGGACGGCTGGGCATGAATTTTGAGTCTTTGACATACCGTACCCATTTTCTGAAGGGAAAAAGGAATGAAGAAGGCTGCACATGATTTCTGGAAGTGAATGGATATGGAAAGAACACAACACAAGCAGCAGCACACATGGCCATGACCCACGACCACGAGGCTAAACTGACTGGAGGAAAATTAATCTTGTGCTACTTTCCTTCACTTATTCTGGAACATAGATACTATTATTACTGTATTCGGGATTGAATATTACAAGATAGGCTTTTATTTTCAATTTCAGGGTTGTTGGAAGACTTTTTTTTACTATGTTCGAATGATTGTTTGTAACATTTTATTATGCTTTTTGTTTGGAATTGTATGTGATATTCCTGTTTACCATATAAAGTTTATTTTCTTATTTAAACAAATAATATGAATTCAGAATTGCACATTAATTGCTACAATTAGGACTTAAATCTGTAACTGTCGTACTTGCTTCACTCAGAACAACTAATAGTCTGTTAAAGACAAGGTTGTAGAATTCGCTGGATGCTAGCAGGGGTGGCGGAGGACCGCCTAGGCTGGCATATTATTTTTTATATAAATTTTTGAAATGTAGATGAAACAAATGTAATGCAAACAAAACTTGGAAGTCAACAATCATGCAAGAGATATATCATATTTACAAATCAAATCCATTTTTACCAACCTGCTTAATGTAGATACTTTTTCCTGAATAGTTAGGTCCAGTGATAATATGAATTCTTCCTGAATAGTCATGTCATGAGCTCTCCATAGTACCCAACATAACAGGAGAGATTAAAAAAGGTAAGTTTGTCAAATATACCTTCATCCAGAATCTTTGTATCGTTAGGGATAAAGGTATCAACTGTCATTTCCTGCAAAACATGTCTGATAGCAAGCAAAGCTCTGTAATACCTTGAGGAAAACTAGTAAAGCTAAACCATGTCTTTTTACTTAGAACTGCTCAAACCTTCCATTCCTTATATCAATGATGCTTTCTGAAGTCAAAACAGGTCTCGTATAGTTGTTTTGACGAGCGATTAGTGCTAATGACAGAAAGCTGGATGAAGAATTACATGAGAATCACAATAAAGTGTAGAATAAAAGTAAATCATCGGGATGGACAAGAAAATAAATGAAATGGACCATAACACTGTAGTTTGCTCACCAATCAAGCTCAGCGGCAAAAGTAACAGCTTTCAGCAATGGATCGGAGTATTCAAGAATATGAATGACAAGGTCTCTGGTAATTTCCCTCTCCATGTCTTGCAATAGAGAACCAGAAAAAAAGAAAAAGAGAACATCATGCTGTAAACACTAAAAACAATAAGTATGCTACATGCATGATGGCATAAGACCATAGGTAATAAATCAAGAACATAAAAAACGGGCCTTCAGGATAAGTGGCTAGCAACTCATGGGCACTGTCAATATACCACTTATAAACAACTTTGAACTAAAGCTATGGTTGAGAAATAGCAGCTAGTAAAGAAAACTTTAAGGGAAAATTATTTTAAGGATTTCCATTCAACATACCCAAAATTTTGTGATATATATCTCCGAGAAGGTTATCCAGCTCCCGTGTCTTGTCAGTGCGATAGAAAAATTTCTTGGAGTCTTTATCTTCATCAGCAAACTATTAATTTCAGCAAACATAAGCTTATCAAATCAGAATATAATCCCTATTGCATAGATGATAAAACTGCACGATGTATAAGTTATGACCTACAGCAAATTCAAAGTCCTGAAGTTTCTCTAGAATGTTATCATCAAGTTTTTCTTAAAAAATGCACACTAAGTAGCCTGCACCACAAATAAAGACTAACTTTTGTTTGACAGATCTAGCACATCTAACAAGAATCTGGCAAAAACGTGTCTCCCAAATGCTCAAAGAGAAAATAAAAATAGAAAAATAAATGATGTTCAAGATAATAACTAGTTGGAATGGGAACATTCATGTATGATGATTCACACTCCTGCCAGTTTCAAAGATTTTCAGATTCCTCCCACCTTTCCAATTTACAAGATCCTGGACAAAAACTAAAACCTCTATTGAGCTTAATAATACATCATGTAAAGCTTTACGTGTTGAGTCATCAAGTTTGACAAATTCAAAAATCTTACACAAAGTGATATGACACACGAATCTAAGACCAATTAATGCCAGAATCATTTTTCAACAAAGATTATTGGTACCCTATATCAATATGACAGTATGTAATAAAGAAGCCATTCCTCGTTACTGAAGGTTGCTAACTTTGTTGTTTGTCTTCCTAGAGTAACAAATGACAATCAAACTTAAGGAATATTCGTAAAAAGAAAATTAAGAAAAACAAGAAGGCTAAGAGCATAGAGAAATAGAGCTCACACATCTCCAACAAAAAATATATAAATTATCAGACTGCAAAACCCTCTTAAAGACAGGATTGTAGACTTCCAACAACCAGAATAAAATATGAGTCACAAATCAGATCAAACAAACCTATCTGATGTATATAAACAATGCTAGGGATGAATTTCTCCCGAGACACATGCGGTAACTGCGCAAGTTCAAGGGATGACACCTGCAAGAGAAGGTAGGTAATATGGTCATATCATGCAGATGTTTATATTTCCACTCCAACGCAATGGAAAAATCATAGCACCTCTTCCAGAAACTCAGGTAATTCTTCGTATATTTGCCTCAGCTCGTCCAACTGCATGGAATAAATTAATCACAACGACCGGCAATACAGACGTAGAAACACATTGAAGTCGTAGAATGTATTATAACTCGAGATATATCTCACCTCCCCACAAAAGCCATCTTTTACTATTGTCTCGTAACCCTTATCTTTACTTCGGTTTACATCTATAATGCCATTGATCTATCAAAATTTCAACCAAACCAAAAAAAAAAAAAAAAGAAAGAAAAAAAAAAGAAACACATATATAACAATAATTATTAGTGAGATGTGCATAAATGCTGAATAATGTCTAAAACAACACAAAATAACCCATAAAGTGTTAAAACGTACAGATATGGCTTGTCCAAGCCCATCAACAATAATACTAATAGTTTAAGATACAAGTGATATTATCTCGTAACTTTCACACGGAGGTTGGTAAAATTTGAATGATTTTGGGAATACAAGATGTAATATTAATCTCTATTCTAACATTTGTCACTTGTTAATGCTAAATATATTGGTGATAATTCCTACTGTTGTCCTTAGGCATTCAAATCAAACCATTTTGAGAGACAAATGTATAAGTGCAATGTGTGTAGCATTTATGAAAAAGACGTATCATTAGATATGTAGTTGGCATTGAAGGACCAGGATGAATGTTTTCACTTTAAATTAAAGCTTCCTATCGAGTATTCTGATTCTTTAGTTCTCCAAGAAACCTGGTTCGTCCTTTCTTTCGGAATATCCAAACATAATCTTCTTGACGAAAACTGAATTTTACGTGCAAGCATAATTTTCTAAAAGGGAAAATTTCACTTTTGGTACCTAAAGTTTACCTACTTTTCAGTTTTGATACCCGTGGTTTTAACTTAATCAATTGTAGTCACTAACGTATTCAAAATCCATCATTATTGCCCAAATCGTCAGTTGACCGTGAGTCAACTGACCACCACCTTCTCTAGCAGGTCATCTTCTTCTGCAAGTGATAGAAAATGGCGGGCATCTCCATTACAGCACCACAAAGCCACCGAAAGTGAGGGGAAAAAAAAGAATTTGAAGATGAGCAGTTCAAGAGGAAGCTGGAACTCTCGCTGGAACTCCGAGATTAATGGTGCTCCAATGGAGATGACCTGCAATTGTGGAGATAAAGTATACTTGAAGACCTCTTGGACTCGAAATAATCCGGGAAGAAGATATTGGGCATGCCCTAAATATGGGGTAATTAATTATTTTGTTTTTGTTTTCATTTTAGTTTTAATTTGCGCCTAATGTAAATTAAGAAGAATTTGTAAAAAAAAAAAATTGCAGAACTTTGGTTTTTGCGGATTTTTTATATGGTTTGATCCGGAAATCAGAAGATGCTCGTCGCAAATCTGAAATGGAAGCTCACAATACACCAGTCGATTGCCCACTTGAATGCGATAAATGAAAGAAATTTTTCTAAGGGTAAAATGTTAGGGTTTTTTCACAGCAATTAGGTCTGCTCGATTGGAAAAATTAGGGGAAACCGATTATTTAGGTTTCTTTGGGGAAAGCAACCTGCTAGAGAAGGTGGTGGTCAGTTGACTCACGGTCAACTGACGATTTGGGCAATAATGATGGATTTTGAATACGTTAGTGACTACAATTGATTAAGTTAAAACCACGGGTATCAAAACTGAAAAGTAGGTAAACTTTAGGTACCAAAAGTGAAATTTTCCCTTTTCTAAAATAATGACAAGTCTAAAGGTTCTCAGTGATATGTTGAATTTTTAAAAGGTTAAAAAAATCAATACATAACATTTGTAGATACCCACTAATTTTAACTCTACAACAATAAACAAAAAAATAATAATAATAAAAACTAATAAATAAATAAATGGAGACCATATATTGTATCACTTATGGTGAATAACATATGATTGCCAACGGAAAGGGAGACATCAAATGGAGAAATAAATGTATGCGCGAGTATAGATACTTATAGGCAAAGAACCAACACGTACCAGCTCATATACATAGGCCAAATCTGTAGATAAGTAAAGATGAGCCTGCAGTTAATATGTAATCCACGGATGATGAGTTCAATGATCAAAACCACGGAAACAAATAAGTTATTATAGAATATTTTACTGTACATACAAATAACAAGAACTGTTGTAGCAGTTATACCTGCTCAATGATATCCAGGTTTAAATGTGTCAACTGCTCTTGAAAAGTCCCAACAATGCCCACTTCAAGTATCTTGTCGATGTGTAGCAATGAACATATGCTCTATAAAAACAAAGTTCTTACTGTTTTATATTTGTAAAGAAGGGAATGCATGGCGAGGACATGCAAACTAAAAGAAGGTAAGGACAAATAACAAATATAAGCAACATTGGCATCGAAATATAATTACTGAGTCATGGGTCCTATCCTTGTTAGCCATCAAATGCAATCTACGAATAAATATCCCTTGCCATTATATATCTCCACATGCAGTATCTAATCCCTTGAATATGGTTTCTAAAAGAGTCCAGTTCAACTTTTTCCTCCAATGGGCAAGTGTGATAGAGTTAGGCAAGCATACTGAGAAGAGAAACTAGTTTGCTTTTATCACTAATTACGACATTTGACTTCTCAAATTTCTGGATGTATTTGAAATCATTTGCAACCATGATGAATACAAACTGAATCATAGGTACAATTCTTTTACTTCAAGATAAGTGAGCAAAAGGAAAGACCGAGAAAGAGAACGATTATAATAACCCTTAAGTCAAAAGATGAAGGAAAAAAAATATATATATAGATAATATTCTAATAATAACGCAGCCAAAAAGATGTAGAATCCTATCAACTTGTCAAATGATAAAAAGCTATATTTAGATCTAATAAAGTAGATATGAATGCAAAGTACAAAGAACTTGAAACGCAAAAGGATGAAGCTGCCAAAAGTATATATTAGTTCACCAGTATCCAAGTTAAGAATACTATCATACCTTTAGAAGCGCAGTCTGTCACTAGCTGTACATACAGAACTCGGAGAGTTGATTTTCTTTCACAATTTCAAAACAAATTTACATTAAAACCATGAAAAGATATACTAGATGATAAAGAGCATTGAGAAAAAAAGGGTCCAATCCCGAAATAAGTAAATAAATAAATAAATAAAAAAGAAAAGAAAAGGAGGGAAGACAGTAACTGTAGAGGTTTGCATAATGTAAGTATGATCTTTTGAGTCAACAAAATAAATCTAATTGTAGGCATAACGACGCCCGGAATCAAAAGAACCTAAGAGAAGCCTTTTGTACCTTGAGTATGTGAGGAATATCTTTCACAGATTTCAGAGTTTGATGTAAAGAAACCAACAATTCTTCAGCACTAAGAAAGAAAGATATCTTGACTCATTAAGAATAACACTGCAGTAATATTGACAAGGTTACAAAGTTCATGAATCAAACAAAAGATTTTACAAAAAGTAAATGGAATAAAATCAAGTGTACTAAAATTCCCAACTAAAAATTTAAAAATCCCAGTACTCAGGCTCATAAAACTTTTGATTAGATTATTGGTGTCCGATAATTATCTTGATTGCATATAACTTGATACACTCAGAACTCTTTCATCTATATTGTATTTCGTATTTAATGTTATGGAGGTTGCAGTAATTGTGTAGAGTGATTCTCAAGTATTTTAAAATTTGAAGCAACAACTGAAGTGGATATGGCAAAAAGTTAAATGAGTGCAGCCCCAAGAAGGATACAGTATCAAGACAAATGTTCAACTTCTCAAGGTCCAGTATAGGCCTCAGGAACCAGTTCCTAGTCAAAAGAGACCATTAACTTCAGAAAACTTGGAAACAATATGACAGTTGCAGTAGAATTAGACCTAGGAAGTAATGTACCGTAATAGACGCCTTCCCATTGGTGTTACACACTGAAAGCAAGAAAATAATTAGTTTAAACAATTTATTTCAGTTCCAAATTTCAGAGACATTATGATCAGGAAGATACAAGATAGAATTGTGACAAGACCTTATTCATCATCCCATATACCGAGAACCTGAAACAAGACAGCAATGTACATTAGTTTTAAGCATGCATTCAGCAGAATGGTTTCACCATTCATATACATATGCTCTAATACAGGAGCATCTTATGACATTTACCCTTCTTTTGCCCTACCAATACCCATATGACTTGGATGCTTGTCAGTTTGGAATATTTGTAATGCCTCGTGGGCAACAGCATCAACTTTGAGGAAATTATTTCT